GCATATTTGGGCATGTCCGCCAAGTGAAGGAGACGACTACATATTTCATTGTCATCCACCCGAACAAAGAGTACCGAAACCAAAACGATTACAAGAATGGTACAAGAAGATGCTAGATCGAGCCATTGCAGAACGCGTTGTGATTGACTACAAAGTAAGCGTTTTTGTTGGAGTAGAATTTTTGCACCATGTATTTATTTTTATTCAAATAGGACATAATGGAAGATTGTACGTTTAATCAAGTTGAAACCGCGAGTAATATTCCGTATTTTGAAGGTGACTTTTGGTCAAATATCATTGAAGAAAGTATAAAAGGTAAAAAATGTGCATTTTTTTTTTTTTGGAAAAGATGGACTAAGTTGACTGAGAGAATTTTACGATAATTTATATACAAAGTGCACTCAAGAAAGAAATTCAGACTCAGGTCGTTGTAATATTCTAGTGCGAAACTATTCGATCAGGGGATAACTCGTTATCTTCCCAGAACAAATAAGTCCTACACAATCTATCTTTTTTTGAAATATTTTCTTTAGGATCTGATAACATGATCTTATGATCTCTTGTCATAACGGCAAGTCAGAGTATACACGATCTTGGAAGTTTTTGAGTGACACTAAGATCGTATGATCAAGATTTCGTAGAAAAAAAATGACATAAAAATTTAAAAGAATTATCAAGACATCTTTTTGTAAGAAAGTTACAAGATCTTAGATGAATGTGTAACAGTCATATCCTCAAAATTGTATGACCTGGGATAAATGTCATTCTAATCATTATCTAGAGCTTGATCAAGAAGCGGAACAACGCCGAAAACTTGAAGAAGTCGAAGCAGCCAAAGCATCCGAAGACTTTTGTTTGGATGATCCAATCGAACCAGAAGATCCAACTGAGGTAAGTACTAATTCTAAATAAATATTTTCTTGAAGTATACGATTTTTTGTTATTCTAGATATCAGATAAACGTAAATCTGCCAACACACATAAGAAGAAAAACTTAAAGAAAACGACTAGTCAACGAAAAATTGCCAAAAAACATATGTCCAACTGTTCCGATTTATTATCGAAGATATTTGCTACCATGGAAAAACACAAAGAAGTATGCACCTTATTTTCTACCTTTCGTTTTCTTTGTCTTATTTTGTACATTTATTTTCAGGCATTTTTTGTTATTCGTCTACGTAATCCACTCGCTACTCATCCTCCAGTGAACGATATGGACGCATTGATACAATGTGATTTAATGGATACACGTGATTCGTTTTTGAATTTTGCACGTGATAAGCATCATGAATTTTCATCTTTAAGACGTGCCAAATTTTCAACAATGGCTATATTATATGAATTACATTCATCTACAACGGATAAATTTACATATAATTGTGATCATTGTCGTCAGCCATGCGATGTTCGGTATCATTGCACTGTGTGTGAAGATTATGATTTATGTTTAAAATGTTATCAAACTGTTAAACATGAACATAAAATGGAACGTTCAGATGATGCTAATCACGAAGAACAACATAATGGAAAAACAGATGGGAGCGGAGGTGATAAATCACCAGCAAATGCTCAATTTCAACGACAACAAACTATGCAACGTTGTATTGAAGCCATTTTGCATGCTGTTAATTGTCGAAATGCAAATTGTATTAATCGTAGTTGTTTACGTTATAAACGTATCATTCAGCATACAAAAGATTGTAAAATAAAAAGTGCACCGTGCACGATATGTAAACATATCATTTTTGTCTGCTGGTATCACGCAAAAAGTTGTAATGAACAAAATTGTCAAGTACGTCATTTCTATGCTAAATAAATTCGAAAGCAGATAACACTTTTCTATCTATTTTAGGTACCATTCTGTACAAGCTTGAAAACAAAAATTCAAAAACAACGCGCTACAAATCATCAAATGGATCGTCGACGAATGTTCGCAATGCAAGCAGGTAATGATTTGATTTGGAATATAGCTTTACGTGAGAGAAAAACCGAATGATAGCGCGTTATATAAGCTTTCTTCTTTCAGAATACACATGGAAAAACACCACAATAGTATTTAAGCTAAAACTATCAAAAAATACAGAATCAATTTTTTATAAGTAGAAACTCAAATACATGACTTGATTTTGCAATAAACTGCTATAGCCAGCCTTTTTACATTAAGACCTTTGTACCAATCGTACAAAAATCACAACTGTCTTTTTTAATTTCTCTTGCTTCTGCAGGCGCTCCTGGACCATCTCCTTCGAACCAACAGCATTCTGATTCGGTCGGTTCGTTTCATCAATCGGTGGGTTCTCCTTGTTCGGGAAAACCAACATCTATGGTTATTCCACCATCATCATCCGCTATGATGCCAACTAATCGTCTCCAATCACAAGGAATTCCGATGTCCGCTCCACACGCTTGTATGAATAATGGTAAAGGTAATCCAATGTCCACGATGACTCAGCAGCAATGGGCACAGCAGTCATCTCGTTCATATCCAATTAATATCAGTTCTATGCAAGCTGGTATGATGAATAGTAATATGAACAATAACAATAATTCGATTAGAATTGTAAACGGATCGTTAATGGGACAACCTGGAAACAACATGATGTTAAGAGATTCGCCTCAACAACATCAATTTATGTATACACATGCAGGTGTGTTGCAAATAATATAATTTAAGATTTTGCTCGTACTTCACCTTAGGTGCATATTTCGTACGAATCTTTTTCTAAACAGCAGTGATCTGCAGTTTCATGTTGTTAAAACCACTACGTTAAGTTGTTTTGTTTAGTTCCTCCATCTGTGAATTATCCACAATCGATGGGTGTGCAATCTACTGGAAAGCCAACGATGTCTCCTACAATGTTTGTTCCAACAGCAAATCGATTACAACAGCAACAAACTATGCCACTTTCTACACAACATATGGTTTATATGGGTCAACAACAACAATCTTCATCCAAACCTCGTTCGTATTCAATGAATATGCATGCACAAAGTGGTAAACCTTCGGCAATGATCAATGCTTATAGTACTAATATCAATAACATGAGTCGAAGTAATAGTTCGTCTTGTGGTAACATAAACAATAGCGGTTCTCAACAACAACTTAATCATTCAATGGCCGAGTCAGAAACGTTGAATGTGACTAAAAATAGTGCTGTGGATATGTCCAGTACAGATGATGGAAGTGCTGGGCTAAGGACAGAACTTCGCAATACCTCTACTATAGCTAATAATAATAATAATAATAATAATAATAATAATAATAATAATAATGACAGTATTGAAACAAAGCAAACGCAACAGCAAATGTTTCAACCGCTTTTAACATCGGCACGAAGTCGACCACAACAGCAGACAAATTACGTGAACACACCATCCAATCATTCATGGATTCAATCGCCCAATCCATATCCACAGCCATATTTAAGTATGCCACCAGGCTCCGTGCCTCCTCCGTACAGCACTGTAGTGCGTGGACGTAATTATTCTCACATGATAAATCAACAGCAGCAGCAGCAATTACAACAACAACAGCTTCAACAACAACAACAACTTCAACAACAACAACAGCTGCAACAGCAACAACTTCAACAACAACAACTTCAACAGCAACAACAACAACTTCAACAACAACAACAAAATACCTTCACTCCATCGCATCTACAACAACAGCAATATTTATCGTCTCAAATGCAGCATAGACAAGCACGTTTAATGCCGTCGTACATGTCACAACCTTCCCCTATTACCGTAGATCATCATCAACAACAACCACAAGGTGATGTTGTAACGACACCGCCACCACCAACATCCGTGACACCAAGATGAACTATTTTGTTTTTATTCATCTGTGTTTTAAAGCAATTTCTTTGTTTTTTCTTTTTTTACATACATTTATGGAATTGTGCATTTTTTCTTTTTTTGTCTATTTCTCTCAAAAAATATTTTGATCTTATTACGTCTATTTTTCTTTTTTCGTTGATTGGATGTTTAAAACATCACATCACACATCTCTCTTTATTTTCTATAACGCGCATTTGCTTTTCAGTTGTTGTATTTATATTTTTTGTTGTTGTTTTTTTTGTACGAAAACTTTCTTTTTCTACTACTGAATAATGAATAACAAATGAACTCTAGCACTACTCATTTTATTTATATATATATATATATATATATATACGCCGTTGTTTGTTTTTTTCTTTTATTTTTTCTCGTGCTAGCTAGTTTAGAGAGCCGCGAGTGTTTGTTTTTATTATCGATTTTCTTTTTTGTTGTACATACGTTTCGTGTAATATACATTGTTTTCATTGGAAGAAAAGTAGAAGAACGACGCTTTGTCTCAGCTGAACGTTCGTTTTAATCTAGAAGACGTTGTGTCTGATGAGCGACAAATTTTGCCAATAGATATAGTTAAGTTGTTTTTCTTCTTTCATAATATGCACGTTGCTTCTTTCGCATCGTTTTTTCACTCGCTTGTATTACAAGTGTTTTTTTTATTTCTCTTAAATGGGAAATGAGTCATATGTTTGTCTGTTTCGTTTTTCTCAACAATAATAAACGTTTTGACTCGTTTTTCTTGCTTTGTTTGTTCGTTTTTCTTTTTTTTTATACAAAAAAATTAAAAGAGAGTAATAAACACATATAGAGCAAAGTAAGATGGTGAACAATTAATACTGCAATAGACATACGTTGAATAAAATTTATCACCGTAAAAAAACTGTTTCGTCCAATTTTATTGCTAGAAAATGTGTCTGCCTGTAATGACAACAGTTAGGTGTGACTAAAAGTTTATCTAACTGAAAACTACTTTTACGAAGATTACCACATGTATTGGGACACTCATCTCGTTAACCGAAAACATAAAAATATACGGCGTCATAATTAAAAAATACTGTTATAATTGCGGTAACGATTTATTTAAAATTCTTTAAGTGGCAGGAGTTGTATCACTCATATTGTGGAAAGTTGCTAACAATTCATCATTTAGATTATAAATTTTTGGCATCCAGGTTATGGCAGCCAAGAAGATGACAAGAAATCCAATTATATTCATCACTATACCCGTCTTTATCTGAAAAGGAAATAATCAAAAGATCGAATAGTAAATAAGACGTTTATGTTTACCATGTCCCAAACACGAATCTTTCCACTAGCGAAAACAATCGCATTCGGTGGTGTAGCTAAAATTGGTCAGAAAAGTAGTTTTTACTGGAAAAAAAGTTCAACATTAGCCTACCAATCGGTAACATAAACGCTAGCGATACAGCCAATGTACACGGTAAAATTAAATAAGCCACATGAATATTTGATGTACGGGCCTGAACAGTTTTGAATGTAAATGTTTGTTAATGAAATTTACATTATTAACATGATATACATACCACCGTATCCAACACTGGGAAAAATATGCTAGCTTAAATAAGAAAGTACTAATAAATAAAATTTAAATACAGATTCCTTCTCATTTTTCTTTACCTGTGCTTAAATTTGATGTTACTTCGGTAAATAAGCCACTGATGATAATAATGGTTAGAATAATAACATTTCTGGGAGCCCCGCTGATAAAACTCAGAGCTTCGGCTACCGATTCTGACAGTTTTGAAGCCTTAATAAATTCATTTGAACCAGTGAGTTAGGTAAGTTAGTATCGAAACAACTGTCTCATGCTTGTATTAGTAAGAAGCATATTCCTTACTTGAAATGCTTCTGCAACAGCCAAACCTTTGTAAAAATGTTACTCTGTTTAACACTCAATTATCGAAATTTTAGCAAGAGTTTTCCTACCGCCTCCTAAGAGCACCAATACACCCCATGACAAATTTTTTGCTAAATCCGCCCATCTGATGATTGGTCGATATTTGCTATCTTCTAAAGAAAGTGCATTGTCGCTTATTTGCTCATTGTATAAGAATCTGCTCTATGTTTCTATCTCGAGGCCTAGAGGGGAATCTTACCACTAGAACAAGTTAAGGCTCGGTTTGTAAAGTTAAAGATCAGGACAAGTTTAGGTTGTGAAGATGTTTACAGGACAATTGTCACAGTTGTCGTCAAACTCTTATATTAACTAGCATAAAAATTATATTTGTACCACATACATAGATTTTCTTTTTCAATGCTCTATCTTTGATATAAATGGATGTTCAACCTTTTGCTTCCATCTTTGCTAACATGCTGAGAAAATAGTGAGGGACAGAGGAATTAGTCTTTACTATATTCAGTCGTACTTTTGAATGGATTTTGATTTGGTAAAATCAGAGGCAGTATACCCACAAACAACGCCACCGTGCCATCTGATATGTATCTTGAAAAAATGATACTAATTAGATATAGAATCAATATTAAGAATAAATATACTTTGGACGAAATATAACATCCCATCCTGGCGTTGAACTAAAATCTCTTGTGATCCATAATAAAATTAAAAGAATAAAAACAATTCCCATTGTATATTCACTCCAACTAAAATAGTAGTCATAGACTGTACTTCTTATCGGTAAGTGGTTGTCAGACATGTTTTAGACTTACTTCGGTGTTTTCAATTCACTATATTGTTTTCGTAGCATATTTCGAAGATTATTTTCACCATCAAGTGTTTCTTCATCTGAGCGACACTGGAAAAAACTGAATTTCAAGCGATATAATTGATGATCGCCAAGTGCACCATTTTATTTACTCTTTAGTATTGAAAAGTAATTGCAACCAACACCAACAGATTACTAACATTAAGATACCAGTTGGTAAGGCAAAGAAGAGAAAATTCTGAAATGTGACTTTAAATTTTGTTCCACTATAACGTCTAAACACATCAACTAATTGGTTAATTTTTAAAGTAATATAATCCGGTAATCAATGACAACTTACTCATCCACAAATCCTTTCATAAATATATTTGGAGTTGTTCCTACCAAAGTTGATAAACCACCAATTGAAGATGAATAAGCAATAGACAGTAAAAATCCTAAATTTTAAATAATTTAACGTATATCATCGTATCTTGCTAATGTTAAGTAGTAACCATCCGGTTCCACTAGGTGCGTTTGTTGTTCTCATTTTATCCACACCGTATATATTATGTATATATATATGTTATGAGGAAGAGATCACCGATGTTTATACTGACTTTTCTCCTTGTTCTACTGAGTCTCCTTCTTTCTAGTACGTTTAATTTTATGTATATATAGTTGTATTTTTCGTGTATGTTTATGATATGTTCTTACTCAATAAAGTTGACAAGATAAGAAATAGTCAATTTAAATTTTACTATCTAACACAAGATAGATTGATTGTGTTTATAATTTTAATCTATTTATTGCTTATTAATTATTCATCATCCATATTATTACTCGTTAATACATATTCACAGTGATGAAAAGTTATCATAGGTCTGACTCTTCATGGATGGTATAGTTTCTGATCGATTTTCTTAGATTAAGTTCATTAAATTTATAATAAAATAAATTGTTCATTGTTCACACATTATGGTTTATCTTTCTGATATTAATGAAACTAAATATCATCGAAGGAAAAAATCTAAAGAATCGTTTCAGATATGAGAGTGTCGCAAAAATGTACTATTTTAGTTTACGATCATTCTGTTAGATTTACTCTCTATTCTTCAGTATATAAAGCGTAAAATCGCAACGATCCTATTCGTAGGATAGTCATGACTATCATATCAAGATCAGCTTGATGAACAGTTGATTATGAATTGAGTGTTTGGCTGATCACATAAATAGAAAAATCTTAAGCTTAGAAAAATGTCGGAAGAAATTGCTCTATCTTTGAAATACTAATAAAAAGGAGTCCAGGATTTTAGACTTGACTAAACTATAAAATCCACAGCCTCTAAAGGTAGATCTGTTCCACAGAAATCGATGCTTGAAAATAATGATGATATGAATATGAAACTCAACTTAATACAATTTTAATTTAATTTAATTTTTTTTTACAAACACTTTTTAGTCACTAGAAACTCATTTCTGGAACAATCAAACGAAGATACATATCATAACCGATTAAATAATGATGATGATCGTACCTTTTTTTAATTTTTCATATTTTCCGGTATGGAGTTTAGTGGTTAGTTTTGCTGCATCAAGTACAACTTCTTTCATTGAATGTTCTTCTGGAACATCTGCTGTTGTTAAATTCGATACATCTTCAATGAATGAAAATGCACAATCATCAGAGTTTTTAAGAATTTATTAACATTCCAACTTACTATTAACAGCAGTTGTAGATTGGTTTATTGAATGTTTTCTCTCCTTATACTCTTTATGATGTTTTTCGAATTCATCCGTTATGGCAATGGCGACTGGTAACATGATGGATGTTGCTGCTGAACTAGAAATATAAGAATTTACCGTAGTACAGATGAAAAAATTTAGAGAAAGTAGTAAATAAAAGTCAGACTTGTTTATCCACATTGATAAAAAGGCTGTTACACCCATTATACCAGCCATTGTCCTAAAGAAGGAGTATAGTACACGAATATTGATTCAACAAAAACCAAACGAAAAGAAAATGTACCATTTTGCCGAACTACCAACTAATTGTAGAACAAATAGAGCAATTCGTCTATGAAGGTTAACTTTTTCAACGGCATAGGCTAATGTCATAGTACCAAAGAACAGTGTGATTATATCCTAAAAAAGTTTTTTTTAAATTTAAAATTAAATAATTAAAATATGTACTCTTTACTTTGAAATAATTTGGTGCAACATCCTTTGCTTTCATCACGCCGGCCATAGGAAAAAAGGCTAACGGCAATAGAGAGGTAACAGGAAGAGGCTAAAATACGTATATAAAAACTAATCAAAAATGTACACAAAAACATTGTAGAAATACATTATCTTACAATTGCTTCTGATATCCAATAAATAATTAATATTAAAACGATGTAGCCACATCTTGCTTGCTACAAATGATAAAGAGAAAATTAGTTTTTTTCTTTAATAAACCTCTCTTTTGAAATGTTTTGAATATAAAAGATTTAGTATAGCTAATAATAGACAGTTAAATTTATTGAATAATAGTCAACATTTTCTCATGAAAATAGCGAAGTCTCATTATTCGATGATATCAGTTTTCATTTTAACGTACACAATTTTTAGTATTACTAAAAATCTGAATTTCAATTTCAGTTCATTCTTATTTCAAAAATCTATTTCAGGCATTGAAAAAATATCTGTTACATAATAAATTGGGATGAAAAATACTCCTGTATAGCAGAGCCCGAAACGAATCGAATGATTCGGCATTCGGTTCAGTTCGATTCGACTGCTTGCCGAATCGAACCGAATTTGGTTTTTAAAACACAAATTAACCGGTCAGTGAAAACGTTTTAGTCAAGCTAAGCTACAATGACATCGTATAAAGTAACGAAAGCATCATGTAATAAAATTTTGTACTTTTTTTCTGTTATAACACTCAGAAACATATAATCGCGTTAGAAAGAGGAACATACAATATCTTTTACCGAGTTATTAAGATATCTGGTCAAATTCATTTCCAAAGACAGAATTTTTGAGAACACCAGAACCGATATCGCACATAACCAACATTCGCTTATGTTTTAATCATTAATGTCGGGATCTTTTCAATTCCTTGTAGCTCAGCTGCGGTTGAACGAGAATTCAGCGCCACCAGAGCTGGGCAAGTCAGGAGTTTTGCAAGCCACAAGTCAAGTCAAGTCGAAATCAGAAAATTTTTTCTTCCAGGTCAAGTTATTCCTTGAAATTTTTTCCTCCAAGTCAAGCCAAGTCTGGTTAAAATTAGGCAGTAAATAAAATTTGCTAGCACCTTTTTGGGTCAGAGAGTTTTTATAGCCTTACAAACTCTTTTTCATGGTAGAAAAAGTCTAATTTAAACGAGAATCTCTTACTAGGAATGACTTGACTTGAAAAAAATTTCTCAAGCCAAGTCATACCTTCAGAAAATTTTGGATCAAATCAAGTCAAGTCTGACTTGACTTGACTTGGACTTGAGGCATTTTTGACCTTACTTGCCCAGTTCTGAGCGCCGCTGGTCAAATTGTTAACCAACGTCACTCAAGCTTAGATCCATCGAGTGTCAACAACATATTATTTTTACGTTCGATCGAAAATAACAAATGGAAAGACTAATCATACGAACAAGACATTTCTTATTTATTTCCTTCTCCTTATTTTCTCTTTATTTTGTTTTATTTCATGTTTCAAAGTTCTAGTCACATAAATGATATATTCTGCTCAATATACAGGAAGTGGTATAACAGAGTAGAAAATATACACAACTAATTTTTGACCAGATAAAAGGTGTTCTGCTCAAGTAGGGTTGCACCAAATCCGAATATTTGTGTTTGGTGAAAGATTTGGGATTTGGGGTTTGTAACCTCAAACAATTTGGATTTGTCACCAAACCCAACGAAAGTCTTACTAATTAATGGTTTTAGATTTGGTGCATTCCTATGCTCAAGTATTCCAACTTGGGACAGTATATCTTAAACAAATGTTTGGAAACAAAAGAGAAGCAAGCTTTAGTTTTCATTGAACTGGTTCGAATCGAATCGAACCGATTCAGGATTATCTGATTCGTTTCGGCCTCTGATAAATAGACAAATACAAATATGATATTTAATTTAAATGATAATGTTCGTTCTCTATATATATATCTCTGTGAAACTTAGTTTTTACAATTAAATTAGTTGTAAAGAAAGAAGACATTAAATTTCATTGATTGAAAACAACAATTACTTGTAAAATGTTCATGTATTAACAGATACTTACATCTGATCTTTCTACAATCGGAATTGGTAACAGTATTAACGGTGTTAGGATAACTAAAAATAGTCTCCACCATTCTTTAATCCATGATTTAAAAAGCATCGTAGTAGACGATGACAACGATGTATTTTTTAGTTTTGTCTTAACATGAAATCAATTATAGATACACATAATTTAGAAAACTGAGTAAAACATGTTTTTTTTCTTTATTCACAAAGTGACACATATTCTTTATCTAGAAAATATTTTTTAGAAGTTCTTTTGAAGAAAATAAAATTTATCTTTTATATTAATGATACAACTAACATATTGAAATTTAACTGTAAAATACATTAATAGAGAGCGAAGAAAAAAAAGGAACAGTAGATCAGTTATTTCAACGGGTTGATAAGATTAAGATCAGCGTGTGACATTTTCAGTTTTTTTTTGGACAAAAAAATTTAAAAAAATACTTGTATATTTTGAAATGTAGTGCGTTTTTGACATTTGATGAATTGCCAACTTTTTATTTTAACTACAGTAAATATTCAATATATATAGAATTTTGATATTTTGAAGAAATCATTTTAGAACTATGTATTGTTAAAAACTGTCAGATCAGCATCGAGTATGGAAGATGTGAAAACTGTAAGTAATAGTACCAATTTCAGTAGTCATACAGATTACCAGTCTCATTATCGGTATGTAGTTAAGGAACAAGAGATTAGATATTGAGTAAAATATTAGGTAGATTTCAGTGATTTTGAAACTCTGCTACCTTTCGAATAACTAATAAGCAGTCTAACCAATTTTTCACGCTGATTTTTTGTCGTTATTGCATCCACGAATATCATCGAGAGTTTTCTCGTAGTTAAAACTCTATATAAAAGATAAGACATTCGAATATTTGATCAAGTATTGTATCGGACAAAAGAAAATCCTGCAAAGAAAAGTTAAAAAGAACCACACAATTGTGAATATGAAACTTTAATATTGTGACACATAAATCGAACCACGAGAGTTGTGAATAGTGGAGGAGAAACTCATTAGCATCCCCATTATTAATAAGTTTTGTTTTTCACTGATGTAAACTTTAAATAATTCTTCTTTAAATTACTAAATGATCTATAAACCATTCACAACATTGACATAACCACAAGAACATTCTTGTTGAACATAGTCAACATACTAAAATCTTTGTAGTCATACCGTGCATCTATTTTCTCTAATCGAAAATCTTTGTGTCCATTTATTTCTGAAATCATCGGCGGCAGTTATTTAATGTAAGTCTCGGAGACCATGGAATAAGATGGTACGTCTAAATGAGATGAATTTGCTTGTATGTGAAAAGGATACTGTGAGCTATCAGCTCACATGACATGGGTAGATGTCCACAGAAATTTTTCCTTTGCCAATCTCGTTTTCTTAAAGCCATGAATATACATACACCTCCGTCCTTCCAGAGAGACTTTAAATTGTAGAAAGATCCGACAATCTACAGACTACTGGAAAGCAATAAACGCCACTATCTATAAATCAAAATTGAATTAAAAAAAAGGGAGGTTTTTGGATGAAGAATAGTATCAAGTATCACCTACATCTAATAGATACTTGTTACCAATATTGTAAGAAGGTTTGATCGATCAGTTATACAACAGCATTAATTTATTAAACAATGTTTTCACTTCTAGAATAAGTTTCACAGATAAAGATATAACACTAGAAAAATAAAAAGATCCACACTCAAATTCACTTCATTAATAAATTCGAGCTGATTCAACTTGTTCCTGAGTAATATGTGGTTCCCAGTATATACATAACACAACATTTGTCTCATTCACACGTTCAGTATTTGTTAGTTGATGAGATAAACGATGTTTCGCATCATCATTTGATAAATGATCACGTTCACATATGTGACGAATAAACTTTTAAGAACACAGTTATCTTCTATAGTTCAAAGAAAGAATTAATTACGTTACTTCTTTCGATGGTATTACAGCAACCCAAATTATATTGATAACGCTATCCATTTTGCTTCTACCAATACAATTACTTTTTTAACTTAAACATCGTCGAGAAGACATATCATATCTTAGACATTAAACTATTCGTTCCAAACAAAAAGAAATAATAAATCATACAAACTGTTTAACAGAACAAAACGGAAAATAAATTGTGTAAACTATGTGTCTGATGTGATGTTTTATTGTTTTGTTATTATGAAAAGACAGCAAGATTTTCTTTTTCGAACCTGCCAATATGACATTGTTTGACGTTTATCTTTTCTGCATCGAATTACTTTACATCTTTCAGTAACTATTTTTTCTCTTGCTTACCTAATTGACGAAGAGGGACTAGAGAATAAAACAGTACCCAATAAAACGATAAACGACATCACCAATACTGTTGATCAACTGTTATTAATATCCTTTTTTACGTCCCCTCATGTATGGAAATTGAGATTAAAAACAACAGTACATCTAAAGATAACAAACAAACATACTATTATCCTTTCAGAGAGATATCAGAGATGGTGAAAGTTATCTCATATCTGACAGTAACAACAACACATTCAAACTTTTAATTTTGCTATCAACAACGCTTTCACTCTAATTAAACCTGTTTCTTTTAATATTTTTATACATCGAAACAACGTGCCATCTCATTACACTACACTATCCACAGTAATTACCAGGGCTCCGTATGGTCCAGTCCATGACCAAGTCGGACCGGACAGTAATCCATTTGGTCCAACTTGGTCCCAGTTTTTAAAAATTTTAATGGTTCGAACTGATCCCGGCCCCAAAAATATTCGTCCGAACTAGTCCTAGTTGGAAAATATTTTAGAAATCTCTTTATTTTTTTTGTTTATCGCCTAGATAAGCTTTGATGAACATTGAATTAAGAATTAGTTTGTTTTCAGGTTTGATAAAAATTAAAATTAAACAGTTTTTCATTACACAACAGAAATGGATCTTCAAAAAGTAGGAAAAATATTCTTCTACGTATAATTTGTTGATATACCATATAACTACCGAAAATATTTAAGCATATAATAACAACTGTCCGAATTAAGAGTGAGACTCACATGTGCTGAGCACATATCACTATCTTTTATGTGAGCCATCATCCGGGAATGCATTCTTCACATCAGCCTTATGTATTTTCAGTGAATTCATGAGAAAATAGTGGTTGATTATCATCTAGCAACAACATTTGTATACTTTTTTTTCTCACAGAATTATACAAAAGATAAAATTTTTGTATGTTTTACACAGTTATTTAGATAATTTATTGAAATAGAACAGGAGTGCGAAGTCATCGAGATCTTCTGTTTAAAAGGTCTTTTCAAGACAGATCGGTGCGTTTCTCTCTCGCAGTTCGGTATAGTTATTATGAAGTAGGAAGAAATAAGAGAGTAAAAGTTTTAGACGAATAGTATAGAGATTCAGAATGAACTAATCAACAATAGATCGATTTTTTACCTTAAAACGTATAAGAAAAGTCAAAGTAAATTAACAATATAAAAAAGTAAACAACTATTTATTTGTTCTTTATCATTCGAACGTGAGTAACACACACAAACACATACATAAATTAATATTAGACAAATTGCAAAAAAGCAAAGTGGATAATTGAAAAACAGATTTATCATTTCTAAATTTATCAACGATCATTCATTTGTTGTAGATAGACAAAGAGTTCACAGCATTCTAATTGTACCCATCTTCAGGTATCATATTTTTTCCATTCCATTCCCTCTGGAGCTTTTAAATCCGTCTTTTTCTGTTTAATTTCATCCCAATTTGTTGATAGAACTGTTCCTCCTGATTCAGACTAAAATACAAAACAGCCATAGATTTATTGCTCCTAGCAGATAATTCTTGATTTGAATTATGCATCTATCCTGAGTTACCAACATCTACCCGTTTATAACTTACAAATGATTTGTTCATAGCCCTACGAGTTTCGTCAGAACCATCGCGATAAATTTGTTGAAACAATCTAACAAAGACAAGAGTAGAGATCAATATTATAATTGAAATACGGATCATTTTTTCTCTTACTGATTAACAGCAGCATCGCCTTCTAACTTCTCGTCTTTTTCTTCGTTTTTCAGTTCCACTTCAAGCTTATCCCAGTCCTTTCGATGACGACTTGACGAGGGATAAGTGGGTGGAACTTGTTGTTGCGTCATCGGTTTATTCATGAGAACTACGAAAAACAACGATGATGTTTAACGAAAAAACCAGTATAGGAGCCCAAAACCTGGCGGAGCATTTGGGTTATGTTGTGCATCGAGAGATGCCCATTGAACTGCATCTTTTTTAAATAATTTGATTTCAACCTAAAATACAAGTATGGCATATCATTTTTACTATATACTTTAAAAGAAAGACACTCACATTAACAGTAGAAACCTTAAAATCTGTTCGTTTACTATCAATCAGGTGAGCAAGATCAATTTCGAGACTATAATCACTACCAGATACTAATCTAGTATTAACACTCAGCTAAAAATAAATAGAGAACTGTATTGCAACACATCCTTTCGTTGCTTAAGTAGATAATGAACGAACTGTTTTATCAGTTGTCACCACATGAACTTGATCTTTTTTCACGTTTTTAATTGGAATTACAACAAAAACATTACTTTCTGACTGATACCAAGTATGCCTTTCAAATACAAAAAAAGAAAGATTCAATATTAAGCTCCAAAATGCGTCGGGTGGCACCTACTTTATTTTTGGAATTACCATCTGTGTTTTTTCTGCAGATGCTATATTTTTTTCTTCTTGCTGACTGGACGTATCCTTCTGAGATTCAATAGATTGTTCATCTAAACAACAAAAAATCAATTACAACAACGTATTGAAGACTAAAGAAAAGCGTATCTACGAGTTATTTCTTCTTCACATTTGGTTCGCCAGATTTTCAACTGATCTTGATTTGCTAAAAGAAATAGATTCTATAAACGATACTGCTAACCCTATCATTATTTGTCAAGAAATAGGTTAGAACATAAAACTTACGATCAATTTTAAGACCTATAATAGAAAACACAACACATGCTGTAAGCATTTAAACATCTGTTTTCGGGCGAAAATTTCCATCTTACCGGAAGTGAATGATTCCAGTGCTTCATCTTTTTTACCCAAATGATATGCTGATAATCTAGAATACACATCATCCATTTTGTAATCCGGTAGTATGTAAGATCAGTTTATATACCCTTTTCTTAAATAAGCTTGGACATTTTTATCATCCAATTCTAAAGCCTTGAGACTATCATTCAATGCATCTAAATATATTGGAAATTATGATCCAAGCTGATGATCAGTTTCGGTGACACTCACCATTAAATTTAGCCATTTTTAATAGACATTGTGCACGTGATGACATTACTTTAGATGTATATGATACATCAGATTTATCATCTTGCTCGAGTGAAATTGAATATAACTAAAAATGAATGTGAATTGACGAAGTTTAGATGATAAGCTATAATGTCAGACTAGATTATTGGACAATAAAAGAAATGAACATTTTACTTACATGCAATGCTTCTTGATATTTTTCATCAACAAACGCTTCGTTTGCTTGTTCAAGCGATCGTTTAGAATTAACGCCACTTGTACTCATTCTTATTTAAACAAAAAATTTTAGAATTCAAACAAAAATTGATCTTTTCGATCTAAAATACAGAAGAAAGGCTTGAATTCATTCTTCGTATGATAGATGACAATTGGATAATGATGCCTCGAGTTTCCGAGAAACTTGACTTAATTTTTAAGCCGAAATATTTTGTGCTAATGTCCGTATAAATTCTTGATTTGTGTTCATTATACGTGATGTAAGAGACTACTTAGAACTTCTAAACTCAAATCAAAGATTTACAGACAGGGAATGACTCGTTTCCTAATTTTTAAATTCATGTACGAAGCATATATTTCATAGCGAATGAGACTTACTTCATACAAACTCATTTTCAAAATTGTAACAAAAAAAATATCAATTATTTGAAATTAGTTCTATCGTAGAAAACATCAACTGTTATTGTCTGGTATTTCTAAAACGTATCACTTTACAATTTTTTCAACAGTTCAACACATTTTTAGCTGTTTTATTCTTCTTTCAGATGACAATATCATTTATGTACAATAACAGAGACAAATAACAATATTTTAAAATTTAAAAGGCAAAAAAATAACACGTTTGATGAACATAAAAATGGAAGAATCAGCGAGTACACAGTATGTTTATTTTATAGAATAACAAAATGGAAAAAACAAGCGCCTGCGCACATATTTGATCGGTGTTGTAGTTGATAATAACAGATAAATTATGGACTATTTTCAGTTTCAGTAACACCGGCAAGGATACCTTCATAAGCCATGCCAACGGTAGGAAACGAGCTGGGTCCTAAACCATACTAAAAAAAAGAAAAAGAGTCAAATATTATAAGGAACAGTTAAACGTAAAAGACGTTGATAAAGATGACATTCGATAAAAAAAAACCGGAAAAGTTAAAATTATGGGATAACCTACCAGATGACCGGAATACTTGTTTTCGTCGATACTGTCTTCGAAAAACATCTTAAAACAAAAAATTTCAAATACATGAAACATTAGCAGCAAGTAGAAAAACCTCTTTCATTTTGAAAAATGCCAAACCAGTCATTAAACTATCGCTACCGGCTTGATGTTGAGGTCCAATACGTTCAATCTAAACAGAAATGAAACATGTTAAACCAGCTAACGATATAATTATCCTCTTAACTCAAGTAAAATAAAGAAGGCAGACGTTCTACTCGAATTTTTGCATAGAAAAGTATCAGACTCTTTCTGAACCGTTTTAACATATTTTCAAGCGAGAGAAGTTATATGTTAACATATAAGTGCCACAATAGCTCAAGAATCACTGGATCAGTCGTTGAATGATAATCCAATACTAAACGATCGCCTCGAATTCAATTATTTGTTATCTCAAAGGACATTCAAAACTATGTTGAATCATATTAAATTGGTCAATGTTTGTTGTCTTATACTAAGTTTCGTAGAGAGTGTCTTCCCTATTAAAAGTTCTTATATGCCAGATCTTGACTTCTTGAATTTTTTTGAGTAAGATCTTGAATCAAGATCTCGATATAAAAATATAATTCAAGAAATCTCAAAAAGTCATGATCCTGAACATCTTGTAATTTCTTGACTCCTTGTACCAAGTAGGCATGCCCCAGTTAAAAACTGGTGTTAGGGCTTCCACCAAAAATTGTTATAAGTCGCCTATAAAGAATTACTCAGAGTCTCGGAACTTCTCATTTTGTAGAGAAATTTTTAGACTATTATCCCATATAAGCAGAAACATTTCAATGTTATCTGTGATCAAAATATGAGCATTCCAAAATGCACTAAAGACAGAAAAAAAACTATTTGGACAATTTTTTTTTCTAACTTTAGTGCATTTTAGAATGCAGACATTTTTGCTAGAAATAACTTCAAATTTTTTTTTCACAGTTGAGTTTTCAAGAGCAAACATTTCTCTACAAAATGAGAGGTTCCGACACTGAGTAATTCTTTGCAGGCGACTAAGAATAATTTTCGTGGAAGCCATAACACCAGTTAAAATCTGGTGCATGGCTAGTACCAAGATCTTTAATGATTGAATCTTGTATCCAAGATCTTGGAAATTATTGAACCATGGTTTTGTTTTACACTCTTGTGTAAATATTTGTTACACTTAGAATTTTTTTCCTTCTTAAACACAATTGTTTTTTAAGGAAGAGCCTATAGTTCTATATAGTCATATATCTGATGGCTATGACCGTCATAAATGAAACCAAAATGTAAATAAAATTTTTTACTTAACATCTCGCAACATTTTGAGTAGATTCGCTCAAGATCTTGGGCATCTAAGAAGTTTCACTAGGATTGTGTCCAGATACGTTGTCGAAAAATACATTGGTACATTTTCTACAAAGAACTAGCTGCAGCTTCTCTCACATACACTATTATGGATCGAAGAAAAAAGTACGGTGACTCAGAAATCCCTACAAAGGATTTGCTACGGTTAATTTGCTCTAACTAACATTTGTTTCGGATGCTCCATTTCAGCACTAGTCGCTTTCTCGTTGGAGAGCTTAATGGAGTGAAATTATCTAGTAATAAACTCTGACTCACTTCAAGTTGTTTGGCTACTTCCTAGAAACAAATGCACAAAGATTCATTATACTTTAAAAGAATTGATCTTGTTATTCTTACTTCCAGACCACCTTTGAGATTTTTACAACTTTTCATTAGATATTTTACATCATAGATATTCGGAAAGAATAATTTTAACAAATCAAAAAATTCATTTTCAGTATCTGGTAACAGTTTGGCAGTCAACATTTTTAGTAAATAACCAAAATCATAACCTCTAGAAAACAAAACAAAGAATCGATCAGTCAATCAATCAATAACGGATTGAGCAGAAATAATGATACCATCAGCATTTTCCATTAATCTCATATCCATTAGATCTTCTGGATCTTATTCTTTTTCCAGCAGATTCGCTATCCAATTCTCTAATAAAATTTGTAATGAGTTTGATAAAAATGATAAATGGTAAAAGATTACAAATGAAAAAGTCTGGCAAAACACCAGCAAGACACACTTAAATTTAAAAAATAACTTTTTTTAAAAACCATTCTTTTCCACTTTAACAAGAGAGAGCACACTTGAGAGTACACAAAACGTTATTTTGATTCATTCTGATAATCGTGAAACGGCTGAAAGAAATTCGAACATTTCCCACAATAAATTTGAGAAGTGTGTCTTGTTGGTATTTTATCAGACTTTTTCTGTAATCTTTTACCATTTAGCAGTTTTATCAAAGTCTTTACAGATTTTAGTAGAGAACTGAATAGCAAATCTTTTCGGAAAAGAATACGATCCAGAAGATCTAACGAATATGAGAATAGTGAAAAATACTAATGGTATTTTTATTTTTGCCACACCTGTTAGTTATACACAGTACTAATACGTACGAATGAAATGAAAGCCAAACAATATTATCCATAAATACAACACCAGATGTTGTTAATAATTCAGCAAATTGGTGTGGATCGATTCCTTCATCTTCATGTTTTTTAAACTGAATACCAGACTTTTGTAATAATTCAATTGAATCTTGTGCATACATGTCCATACTAAAAAAATAAATAAAAATTATTCAATGAATCATTCTATAAGATAATCAGTATACACATACGTCAAATTAAAGTTAAAATTAAACTGATATGAACTAATACCCGGTGGACTTTCTCCTTTATCATTCATAAATGTTAAACCTAATTGAATTATTTTCAAAAAGTCAACGTTCAATTTTAAACATTGATATTGATATTCAGCAGTGGTTTTAAATTCACCTAACGGACGAACAACTATACCAGGAAATTCGGTATCCTTTAAAAAAAATAATATTTATAACAATAAAAGAACTTCTTTATTTCTCGCATACTTACCATTGCCACAAATGGATACTGAAGAACCAGTTTTCTGATATCTTTGAATTCTGCTTCTAAATTGTGCTGCCATACGTCTTTAATATGGTATGGATTTAGCAGTTCTTCGGGCATTTAGTTTTCTGCTCTTCTGTGAAAAAAAATGCATAATTCAATCTAATATTGCTTTTTTCTATTACAAAAAACAGAAAAAACGTATAAAAAAGAATTCTAAGCATCTTCGATCTTTACCTTATTGTTATTGAAAAGTTTTAACTAATCCAATGTTTAGGCAGAATCATTAGCTAAAAATTTTTGATGTTATTGAGAAAAACAATATCATTCACGTCTTATAGAACAGGAATTAGCAAGAGCCGACTCCAGATAACACTCCAAAAAATAATGGACTACTGCAAAGATTGTCCTGTTTTAGCTGAAAATAAGGATCCAGAATATATCAAGTTGAAGCATACTTTTTCATTGGTAAATAACCTACAAAAGGAAAGAATGAAAACGATGTCGTCGCACACGTATATTTTTATCGTTCAAAGAACGGGGAAAAAAGTTCGAAAAACTAATTGAATTTTATACAATTTGATTCAGATTTTCATCTGGATCACACACATGACGTTCATTTTCAATAGAAAGCCTTTGATAATTAAAAATTATGTTTTTTGTTTTGTTCTAATCTAAACACTTATGAAAAAGGAATAAAGAGAACATAATTTTCTTTTATCTTTTCCACGTGCAGCATGATATAATGTCACGTGTTTGTAGTCGTTCGATCGAGCGCCTGAAACTTTGTATATCCTGGAAATTTTGACCTATCGAACAAATTTTTAAATTTTAACAATACGTCAGGCCAAAATTAGTTAACATATATACGATTGACTATGGTGATCACGAATTATTAAGTCGCACCCGTCACTGCACCTACTTCTTTTTTTTAGATATTTCGAAATGAAAGTGAATATTCTTAACCAATTTTTCAATCTGAAAATATGCAGTATAGATGGGAATCTTGTTGCGATGCATCATGGTTTATTCGGTCATTTCATCGTGGTTTATTCTTCGAAAATATGACGCATTCGAGGCAGTACACGTAGCACAATGGTCATGTTTTTAGTATGATGAAATTCTCTAAATATATTACGATGGCTCAATGACACAATCAAGAATTTTTATCAATTTTGTGAATTCAAGAAAATACCTACTTACAATCGCCTATATTTTCTGAAAGGTACATCATATTGAATAGACATCGAACAAAGATGGGAAATGTAAGAAAATGTAGCTATTTACAATTTCTTACATTTTACAATCTTTCTCAGCTGACCAGAAGAAAATTTTCTTCTGGTTAGCTGCGAAAGAATGTAAAACGTAAGAAATTGTAAGAAATTGTAAATACATTTTTTTACATTTTCCATCTTTGTTCGATGTCTAATATATTTAATCATAATATTCAATTTATTGATCAATCTTCTCGTAGCGATATGAATGTGTATCGATGAGACGTGTTAAGAATTTATGGTGCACAGCTAGTTAGTTGTGAAAGTGTCAAACTTTTCATCAATCGTGTCTAATTTCAATGATTTATCGTTTACTTTCATTGTTCGTTATTATGTTGATTACTTTTTTTTGTAGCTTTTAATTTAAAGCCTAACACTTTCTGGTTGATTATCTGAAATGAAAACGTTTACTTAATTCATTTATTTACAAAAATTGGAATCTTTATTCTGACATTCTTTGACAAAAACAAAAGATATTATACAGATCTAATTTTATTGCACATCTAAATCATAAACAACAAAAAAATGAAACAAATCGATGTAAAATTTTATAAATATAGATAGACAAAATTAAATCTGTAGTCGAACAAAAATAATTCTTTATCAAAACCATCAACTAACTACTCTTCGTTGAATAATTTATCGATCGATTATTCATTATTCATTATCCACGCAAATTTGTTTGCATTCACCTTCTTCTTTGAAATTATTTTCATTACCTAAAATAAACAAAGATCTACAATTATATTCGTTGAATGCTTCCCACAAAAGTAGACAAAACAATGAATCATATCTCAAGTTCTTTATATTCAACAAGAGTAACTTCGCTCAATTATGTACTATTCAGACGCTTTTCCTTCTCGTCTTTTAGTATTGTAATTTGAGTGAAGTATAATATACATGAATCATGAAATTTTGAATGTTAGTCAGACGGTTTACCTCCACAGCCTCCCCACGTGAATTCTTTACAACTGTTTGTACTACCATCATAATAAAATCGTGGAAACATTCCTTTACACACGCCAGTTTGTGGTTCTAAATTGCATTTTTGTGGACGTGCGGCAAATGTTAACACGATAGATAGTATAACCAATAATAAATGTAGAATACCAAGTTTTGAATTCATCATTTTGAAATCGTGAGTGCCTCTTCTGAAAAATAAACGTTTAATCAATAAATAATTGTAGCATAAGTATTTAGAAAATGTAGAATAAGTTTCATAGTTGACACATTATATCATAATATTATTTATACCTATAAATATTTATTTCGTTCTTTTTTTCTATCTGTCTCTTTCCCTTTCTATAACACAAAACAATTATCTGCCGTTGATTTCGAAAACAGGAGAGAATATATAGACTAACAGCACAATCTAAAGCATTATTTTACAATTTTTTTTGCTTTTCTTCATTCAATAAAAATAAATATTTTGTTTTTTTGTAGGCCAACATACGTATAATCAAATAATAATTCTGCTTTCTTATTAACAGGTGGTGTTGGTATTTCAAGATAGGTCGCTATAGTTAAGGTGCCGATAATTCAAATTTTTAGAACTTTTTTTATGATTTTTGACATATGGTTGGATAATGCTTGTCGAGGTGATTACAAAAAAGTAGTTTTTAATTTTTAAAAAAATGCTTTTGCTGGAAAATAATTCAAAATTTGGAGTTAGATTAGACTGCTGAAATAGATTAAAACCATCATAAAATCCAATAAAAATACTTTTGAGCTCTCGACGAGGTTTTCTTTTTCATTTAAACAATCCCAACTGATAGAAAATTTAATTCTGAACGAAATGAGAGATATTTTCGAGCATTCTGAGTCAAGTCGACATATTCTTTTTTAAAGGTTCTGGATTTTTTCGATGGTTTTAATCTATTTCAGTAGTTTGGTTTAACTCCAAATTTTGAAATATTTCCAGTAAAAGCATTTTTTAAAAATTAAAAACTACTTTTTCGTACTCACCTCGACAAGCTCTATCCAATCATATGTAAAACACGCCAAAAAAAGAAATGCTCGAACTCTGAATTATCTGCACTTTAATCAGACTTAAACATCCTGAAAGTTTCTGAAATTTCTGCTGACGTAGGCTATTATCTGATTCACTTATAGATGATTGACTAATGACATACACAGAACAATATATGAGTAATAACATGTTTACAGGTATTTAGTCGTTCTATAAAAACTAATCCTTTAAGATGTATTCTAATTGTTCTGTAAATGAGATATATTGATAATATTAACAACGTCGTATCGAAAAGAAAATATGTGCATATTTAGTTTCAATAACGTGGAATCACATGTAAAATTCATCTGATAATAGTTAAACTCCTGACTCCATCATTAAAGCGTGCACATTTTTTCGGTAGTAAGTGGGCTAGTAAAAAGTAAAAAGAAGCCTCCTCTTAATCGTAAACTATGAGCGTAGCTGGAAGGAGAATCTTGTCTATCTTTCAGATTAGTTTATTTAACACTATTCGTATAATCGAAGGTTATTCAGAACATGTTTGGTTTTTTACAGAAGAAAAAGAGTGTTGTCGAGTGGAAATGGAGATTGGTCAAAACATTTTGTTTGTTTGTTGGATTTTGTTTTCTAATAAATTCAAATATTAAATGACTAAACGTTAGCCATTACTTACATGGAAAAGGACGACATCAGCGACACTTTATAGTATTTGTTTTCATTACGAATACTCAGTAGGGAGACAGCAACTATCCTACCAACTCAACTGCAGCATTCTATTAGATGCACTTCAATTGTTGAAGAAAGTTGTTTTCCCCACAGAAAATCAAAATGTGAAGAGATTGTGCTGGAAAAGCGGCGGGAAGAGGATTTATCCTAATATCCAAAACCCTTCAACCGACGTTTGAGCGCCCGACATTTGAGCGACTCCGACATTAGACATTTTTCAATACGACTTTTTGCCGATCAGGAAAGTCGAATGATTATTCACTTCGATAACGATTAATAACGACGACGAGAACAATTTTTTTGTCGTCCGATTATGAACTGAATTATTTGGAGATCTGTAGAGGGTGAGGCTGTGTGGGGGTGAGGGTGAGTGGGGGTGTGGGTGAGCCGCTATAAGTGATGCGCTTCGCTCAATTGTTGGAGTCCTTCCAATGCGGTCGCTCAAATGTCGGGATCGCTCAAGTGTCGGCGCTCAAATGTCGGTTAATCCCAAAACCAATCCAAACGAGTCTGTCATATATTTTGTCAAAAAATAACGTTCTTCTACCACTTTTATGGTGTGCTTTTATGAGAAAATAAGGTTTCCTTAACGAAGTAAAAATTGAGTTAACCAATATTGCAAAAATGAAGACCCAAATATTTCTGTAATATTATCCCTTTTTTGTGATATCACTCTTTTTCCATATAATAGTTGTGGAAAAAGCTCCAGCTCTTTTAGCTGTTTTTACATAGATACAAAAATGTAAGTGTGTTAGAATTCCTGACTCTCTCTACAAGGTAACAAAAAAGCATCCTATTCCTGAGGGAACGATACATTTTTTAACGTTCTTGTTTGCAACAGAATCAAGATCAACTTTATCCAATTGGAATCTTGTCCCAGTCCGAAATCAAATGATGTGGGAGTACAGACAAAGAGGTAAAATCTCGTCCCAACTAAAATGTGAAACTTTTCGTAATTGCATAATGGGCTAAAATAGATAGTATAATGCGGAACGAAATCTGATCTGTTTTAAAGCACCCCTATGACCAAAAATTCGAACTTTTCTTAAAAAGTCGATATTGAGCTAAGCGCATCATCGAATAGTTCAGGATGTCTGCTATCAGTATCCACGTCAGTGAGACCTTCATAAAGGGTGTCATGAGACTTTTTAAGAAAATTTCTGAAAACCCCGGACACGAGTGAAAAAATATTTCACGTGTGGCTATTAGCGAAACAGAGTTTTTCACTGATGAAGTTTGACGTAAATACGCATGAATTGTCCACGTGAAAATCTCTGTGGAAAGACCCCACTTGTGACACGCTTGAAAATGTCTCATTAAAGTCTTTTTGTAAAAAAAAAAACAATTTTACATTAATTTCCCTCCTTGTATGTATTTTTCTAGTTAATGTACGGATCATCACTTCTCCATCTAGCGATATTTTCAATTATTGTCACTTCCTTATGACATTCTTAGTAAACGCCAATCACCGTTTTATTTTGCAGAAGCAGATACTAGATAAGCACCACTGATTTCTTAAAAATTTTTTCAAAGTTTCTTCAAGGTAAGTAAAACTGGCCGTTTTGAAAATGCCTCGCGATCTCTTACACACTCACTAATGAACTATACAGTTAACGAAGATTACCAGACATTTGGGTGCGCGCGATATTTGGGCGCATGTAGGACAAAAGCATTTAGTAAGAGTGCATTTGTTACAGCATGATGCATAACGATAAAATATTCTTTATACAAACTCGGTACGGTGTGAGAGCTTTTTCCAAATTACTCATATCCAACTGTAATCACTGTTTGTTTAATCCTCATCGATACTCACACTCACACTCACCCTCACTCGCACAGGACCTTTGAACTTCAACTATCGTTGCGCCCAAATGTCGTGTAATACATTGTGCGCCAAAATGTCGGTATACCGTTAACAAACAAAGGAAAAGAAACATTGAAAGTTTTTGTCAGTTCTTGCTCTTGTCTTCTCTTGCCCTTCATTCTCGTATAAGAATCTAATAAGATAAGAACGAGAATAAGAACGAGTCTTGGCGGATTCTTATAAGTTTCTTATCAGATTCCTGTCACGTTCTTTTGTAAGAATCGATCACCAGGGCTGTATGTTGGCCGTCAAATGGCTTGAACGCTGGCTGTACGAGTGCTTGTACTGTATATATCAATTGCATCGTCATATAAAGCGTCATGATGACTCCAATTTCGCCTTCGTAGTAATTCATCTAAACCATCTAATAAATAAATAAATAATATCATACTTTTAGGGATCATTTCTATAGTATGGTATCAACAAAACATCCATAACCATAAATCAGCAAATTCGGTAGTAACATCTGAGTTTTCACCAAATTTCTGTATTAAATCTTTGTACCATGTTTTCGAATTTTCTGCTGGAGGTTTCTAAAACCAAAGAACAGTATGATCTCTTTGATTTAAAAATCTACTCTTCTTTTTATATAACGAAAAAACTAGATCATCTGTGTACTCTTTCATACAAACTATTATTCATTCCAAAGTAGAAAATGATCCGATATTTTTGCAAAGCATGAGATCGAAAAGAACCTGAGAAATCGAGTTTTTGCCGTTTTCAGACAAAGAGTTTGATCTTAAAAAAGACATTGAATCTTCTTTTTTAAAGCAGGAAGTTTAAGAATCTTTCAAAAGCTGTCCAGCTCATTTCTATGGATTTCAACTGATGTGTAAATTTTTTAATACTCAGTCAATTCAGTCTTTAACTGTATATTTTTGAGAAAAATAGATCTATACTGGTTTTCTCAACCTTCTTCGAAAAACAGACATTGGTTCGAGACTCAGGAGGGGCAATCATCGATGTGCCACTTGTTTTTAAGGTTTCCAAAATTCATGATAGTTGTGTATGAGTAAAGGCACTCGTTGGCGAATTAGATATCATTAAATTCAACGATACATTCGGTGGGGATAGATCGTCAACAATTGGATCGATCGTAGTATTTGAAAATGACCAGTCAAGTAGAGAACTCATAGGAGCAATATTAACTGGTAAATCCACCAGTTTATCAACAACAAAACACATTACAAGAAATATTACACCGTAAAATTGTAATATTCTATGTAGAAAATTTTCATAAAATGTGTAAACCTCAGCTAAGAAACTGTTTATTATTCTGATTTGTTCATCCAGATCTTCACTAATATCTGCTTCTTACTCTTGTTTATTTTGCTGCTTTAATGCTCTTTGATATTTTACATAACTTTCTTTGATATATTTCATTACCTTTGGGATACGAACAATGTCATTTTGTAATTGATTACATAAATATAATAACGATTTATCAAGAACCTGACGTGTTTTCATACTATATACTCTGAAAAAGAATAAAAACCAGTTCCACTAGTCTATGTTTTTGTATAGGGATGCAGCTGAGAAGAGTAAAAGTGGAAGTCGCACTGCAGCTTTATATATCTACGATGAGCTTGAAATTCGTGGTCTTGAAATTAATTTGCATAATAAAATATTTTACTTTGCGTTTATCTCATGGATGATATAATAAGTCTTCAGATGTCCGAAAACTGCTTTTGCTTTTGATAGTTGTTTTTCTCTTTCAGAGGAATTTTAAACCAAAAGCATAAATATGATTTTATAGTTATCATGTTTTTTATATCTTAGAAGGATAAGTTAAGGAATCTATTTCGGGTGGGTAGCAGCTCTCTACTACCGGATTCCCTTCCTCTCTTAGTGCTATACAGTGTTACTGTGATAAGTTTTTCCTTACCGTTGGAACATATCGATGTACAACGGTATACCGTATTTTATCATATCGTCTCGAAATTTTGTTTGATTGATACTAACAATATCGACTGATTTTGTGTATAATTTTGAACATGCCATACTAAGATCAAATTTTCCACCTACACTGTGAAAAAAGAGGTGCATGTTCGAAAAAAAATGCACTTCAGGCGAGTCAAAGGTGACTTCATTTTTGATCAGTAAGATCAAATTTCCATGTAAAAGACGCGCTACGGTGCCTTACGAAAGCGGCTGGATTCCAATTTTATGTACCCATAGCATCTTCGTGAGACATCATGGATCTTGAGTCAAGGCATTTTGAATATATTTTCCCGCGTAAATCAAGTGCATTTCCGATGCATGTAATAAGACATCCTGATCCACAAATAAAAAACTGATAAAGGCATTGTACGAAATGATAAATTGAAATCATATCAAAAATGGACCAATTCAAATATCACGTGTGCATCTATGGAAAAAGACACGAAGAAGCGA